ACACCTCTGAAATGAAACTGAGATATCTATGTTTGCACAATTGAATCCCCCTTAATTTCTGTGCTTAAAGGTAGATATTTATACATGAAGTATGCGTCTAACCTGCCATTTAATCAAATGATATCTAGTTAATAATAGCAAAAGTTTACTGAGATTGTCACAGTTCTAGATCACATGACCACTCAGGAGAGGTTGAAGGGCTTAGGTTTGTTTAAACCAACAAAGAAAAGATTAAGCGAGATCTAACAGCAGCCTTCAACTTCTTGAAGAAGTGTTACAAAGATGATGGAATCAAACTCTTCTTGCTAGTGGTAGACAATGTAAGGGAGGATAATGAGCACGGGTTGTAGCTTGGGAGCTTTAGCCTGGACGTTAGGAAAAACTTTTTCAGTAGCAGAGTAGTATGGCACTGGAAAAGATTGCCAAGGATGTTGTTGGATATCCATCCCTGGAGTTTCCAAGACTCATCTAAACAGCCCATGGCTGACCTGATCTAATGGCAATGATCAATTTCCCTCTGAGGGGGAGATTTGGAAGAGACACCTACAGAGGTACTGTCTCACCAACATTTCTGTGCTTCTATGATTCTGCAGTCTGTGGAGTCTGCAGCCTGAATTTCAAAACTACTGTAGTTCAATATGCCTGAGTCTGAACTAGTCATTCTGTATCTCTTTTCTGAGTCAAGGCAGATAAATAGTCACTTTTTGGAAGGGATTTCTCCAGGAATTTCAAATATTTACCTTAGGATGCTTACCCTAGAAATGCTTATGTCATTACATTGATTTTAAAGGGAGCCTCTGTGACTAGTGGAGCTGTCTACAATTTGGACCTGCAAAATTAGATAAATTGAATACCAAACCCTAGGTCCTCAGTGATTCAGTGATGATTCTTGGCTTAACTCAGTGATATATTTGTGAACACTATTCTTTTTTCAATAACACTGTAGTATTTTATCTTCTTCAATGAACTAGATTTCCACTGTATTTATGCTTTTCAATATTCTGAAATGTTGCCTCTTGCAGGGCTCATTGTTCATACATATTTTTGAACATTCTTTTCTAATACAAAATAGAATCAACTATAATTTTACAACAAAAATTGGGAATCAAATACAGTTATCACATTGAATGGCACTCATTGGCTTGATTCATTTGCTAGCTCATAAGCGTTCAGCCTTAGTCTTCAACCACTAGCTCAGAAGGATGCAGATCTCCTTTAAGTGTTGTCTCACACCTGGACATCTAAGACACTTTGGAGTACCTCAAGTGACACTAAACGCCTATCTTGAAGCTACTGGAGGAAAAGCCAGTAGTGTCCTTGACTATATGTAGTCAATGTAGGGAGTTAACTCATAAGTAGACATCTTCATGTGTCCTCATTGCCTCATATACTGTCACTCTCGTCAAGATGACACGTCATGGCACAGAGAGCATAAATAATATACATTCACCTAAAATTTCTTGGTGAGTCTAGTTGATGTGGTGGAACCTAAAGAAAATAAAAGCTCTTTTTTTTTGGTGGATATGCCCAAACATATTACTTGTGGTTATTCCCTAAAGACCAAAATCTTTACAGTTTCCAGAGTTAGTTTTTACTGAAATATGAATTAGAACAACTAACTTTTAAAGTAAAGATGTCTCAGAATGGTTACCTAAGATAGAAAAGCAATGATCAAAAAATATTTTTTACAAAAAAAATCTCTGTCCTTCTCATTGTCCTTCTTGATTACAAGGTTAGTTTCAGTCAACTCAGTGACTGTCTCTCTGTGACAGCTGTCTGGTACCAACTCATCCCAGCAGTCTGACAGCATCTCAGGGAGCTGCAGCCTTCCAGATCTTTTCTGTGACCTTAAAACCCTCATGTTCCTTAACCTGTAGACCATAAGCATGTCTCCTCATAGCATGCTCGGTTGCTTTAAGAAAACTGATCCTATCTTCTTGTCGCGAATGAGTGGTTTAGAGGCTGCTTAAAGAATCACTGTCAAAGGTATTAGCAGAAATTGATCTTAATAGAAATTTATAAAAGCGTGACTTTACAGAGTTCGACAGCGAGTTTCACTCTATCACTTACTACACGGATGAAGCATAAAAAGGAAAAGAGCATGGGAAGCTGAAAAGTCCTTGAGTAGTGTAAACACTACTTAGCAACACCTACACATCAGTGTGTTATCAACCTTATCCTCGTACTAAATCCAAAACACAGCACTATACCAGCTACTAGGAAGAAAATTAACTCTATCCCAGCCGAAACCAGGACATTGTGTAAGAATTGAGTTGGAATTATTCATACAGAGGCCAAGGATGAAAAGGTTAAGGGAGACCCTCCCGTTGAGTCACAAGGTTCGGAGAAGACCTGGATGGATCCAATCTTAGTCTCAGACTTGGTCAACGGTTTATATCTAATATGAAAAGGGTAAGGAGATCCCCCCGTTGAGTCACAAGATTCAGAGTACACCCAGCTGGATCCACCACTCATCCCAGACTTGGTCAATGGTTTATATCTAATGGGAGAAATACAAGGAATAAGGAAACCCTCCCGTTGAGTCACGAGGTTCAGAGTAGACTCCTTTGTTTTATAAACTCCTTCTCAGAGAGGAGTCTAGGTGCAGCTGGATCTGCCGCTAGTCTCAGATCTGATCAACGGTTTATGTCTAAAGGATTATATGTGTTTTCCCACTCTTAAGACAGATCATAAGATTTTAGCAGATTATATTTGCTAGCGGGTACCTCCATCAATTCACACACACACACACACAGACACAAAAAATAGATAAATATACAAAGGTATACCTGTTAAAAATTCCCCTCTAGTTCAGTGAAATACTCACAACAAATATCTTGGCATTTCTCAATGGGCAAAGAGTGGAGCCTTGAGGAGTCTTTCAACAGAGAAGTGTTGAAGCCCAGGTCCCGTGCCAGTCGGCGATGGTCCTCCAAATATTGCAAAATCAAGAGTTCGTGAACTCTGAGAAGTTCCATTGAGAAGGAGATTCTGGGCGCAGCCCCCTGCGGTCCAGGAGAGCTCAAAGGGCCTCACTTGGGACCGCTGTTTATAAGGTCGCAAGATGATTTACTTTAGTCATCCGTCAAAACTCTCAAGGTTTCAGTAACAATGGTATCATTCCATTTGAGCTACCACTCAGATAAAGGTATCAGGGATGACAATCATCCCCGCTTTCATCCTCCACTTGGGCCAGGCAGTGGAAGTTTCTGGTACGATGCGTACATTCCCCAACCTCAGCTATGCAAGAGTTCCTGATACGGTAAAGGGAAGCTTCGCTGCCTGACTCGTTATACCAAGGCCAAGGTTTAACGGGAGTTTCTGAGATCGTGGAGCAGCCCAGGAAGGGGGGGATGCACCACCACACTTCTTCCATAGTGGTTCATCTGATACAGACAATCCCAGTCAAAAGGAGTATAGCATTCAAAGTGTGAACAAACAAATAAGATAGATACTGTCTGCCAAATTTAATTAATTGCTCCTTTAGAATATAACTGTGCAGTGTACACAGGAAATGTAACCGAAAACTTAGTAGATAGTCACAATATACTCGTGAGAATCAAAAAATTCCTGGCATCTTAATAAAGTCATCCAAATGTGGAAGTATTATTCAATATATGAAGGAAGGATTTCAGGTGGCTATTAATGGCACAAGTTACAGGCATAGACATTCTTTAGGAAACATTGTCATCACACACTACTAAAACCACACTGGGGAAAAAATGGAAAGGAGAAAAATATGTATGACTCAACAAATAAGGCAGGAAGGACAAACATCTCATAGGCAAGGGAGAAAGCATAGGAAGATGTATTTTTAAACCTGGGAAGAATCTCTCGTGACCCTAGAAACAAGTCTCCTGATGGCCTTTTTCATTTCAGTATTTCTCAGGGTATAGACCACAGGATTCAGCACTAGAACAAGCATAGTGAAGAAGATGGAGGCCACTTTGTCCAGTTCGAATGTCATGAAGGGCCGAGCATAGATTATGCTTATTGCCATTATCTGGGCTATGCAGGTAGATGAAGCTTTGTTCTTTCCTTCAGTGACTTGCCTCCCTATCTTGACTGAAATGACAGTGTATGAAATGAGGAACAAGACAAAAATTACTATGAGGAGCAGTCCACCATTTGAGATCATCAGCAGCTCCGACAGGTAGGTGTCAATGCAAGCCACTTTCAGTACTTGTGGAACATCACAGTGGAAATTGTCCAGGGTGTTAGGACCACAGTAAGGCAAAGGGAGAAGCAGAGCAATCTGCAACAGTAAATAAATCCCCCTGCCCATGCCCCTGCCACTAGACCTACACACACCTCACGGTTCATGGTCAAGTACTGCAAGGGCTTACGGATAGTGACATACCGATCAGCTGCCATCACTACAAGAAGGAACACATAAGCACCACCAATGAAGTGGAAGAAAAACATGTGAAGGATGCACTCCTTGAATAGAACAGTTTTGTGCTGGGAGAGGAGACCTGACAACAGAATGGGAGTATTTACTGATGATTCGGTGATATCTGTGAATGCTAAGTCTGCCAGGAAGAAGTACATGGGTGTGTGCAAGTGGCAGTCAGTGATAACAGTGGTGAGGATGGTGATGTTTCCCAAGCAGGTCATCAGGTAGACAATGAAGAAGACCATGAAGAGGAATTGCTGAATCTTAAGACTGTGGTTGACGCACAGGAGG